CCCTCCCTCCTCCTCTCCCCTCTCCCCTCCCCTCCCTCCTTCCTCTCCCTTCCCCCATCCCTCCCTACCCTCCTTCTTTTTAATAGAACAAATTTAGGGAATAAATAAAATTAAGTAAATAGAACCGAAAAAAACCGTTAAAAAACCGTAATTTTTACGGTTTCGGTCGTCTTTACTGGTAAGAAAAAACCGAAACTGAAACTGGAACATTTATTTGATATTTTATTAAATCGGAACCGGAACCGAATCGAAAAACCTTTCGGTCCGGGTCCCTGGTTTTGATATAAAAATTGTAACTTTGCTATACAATATGTACAAAAAAATCATCGTAGAATGTTTTTGTACAGATATCATAATTTAAAAAAAAAAAGTTATATAAATACACGAGCCAGATATAAAAAAAGTGCAATTATTTGAGCATCTGAATATGTCATATTTTTAATGTGGACAAATAGAGTATTTTTAAAGAAAAAACAGTTTTTGGTTTTATTAAAGTACAAAAATGATTATTTTTAATGCAAAACAGAAATATTTAAAAAGTGATTACAGAATATTAAATTTTTGTATGCATTCGCTGCATATCGGTGATCTATGGACTTTGCATATAGGCTTCCAGCAGTGAATACAGCAAAAAAATATAGACACGGTAAAATAAGCCTACTCAATACAAAAATAGCAAAATAACTGATTCACTTACTTGTGAAAAAGGCACCTTCCGACTATAAATATGGATCTTTCGGTTCCTCACGCAACTTTGCGACCGTGCTGCTCGACAACACATAGAGATTCCTTATTGCCGTTGTTTCCCTATATTCCTCCATCACAAAGATTTTTCCCGTGGAAGAGGCATAGGGCCATGTTCACAGGTATATGAGAAATAAAAACTATTAGAAATAGCATGGATACGAAAGACCCATGTGTCGTTCAAGGGTTAATATAGACGAAATAATTCAATCCTTCGCTAACACAAAGTCGAGAAGGAACATGTAAAGCAGGATGTATCTGTTTCAATCGATTCTTGTAACCAGGGATTTTTCTTTCTTTAAAGTAAAAGTTTTTCATTTACGTTTTTGTAATTAATTTTCTGTATTATTTCATATTTAAAAGAAATACGTATATTATATAGATACATAATTAGATTTTTACTTCGTGATATACTCACTCGACAGCGCCTCACTCGATAGCGGCGGGGGGGGGGGGGCGGCCC